GGGCATGTCCAGCCTTTGATAACCACCAGCAACATTAGAGGGAATCATTTTGCAGATTTTTGTTTTCAGACCTCATCACACTCTGATAAAACAGGGGATAAAACCCAAAACTTTAAAAAGTTTCTTATATTTGTATTTTTAACTCCAGCTGGATAAAATATTTCCAGTGAGATGAAGCTGAGTCTGTATGAGCGGACTGTGGAGCGCAGAGCAGTTCAGTCAGTGATCATCGGGGCTGTGTCTGAGGTGGTCTCTGGCTCAGGTTCACCATCAATCTCCTCCATCTCCCTCTCCACAGGCTCCGCCCCTCGTCTGAACAGCAACAGTTTCCTCTCAGTCCACCTCCTCCTCCTGTCTGTGTCTTCAGGTGACACTTCCCGCCCCAGCATGGCCTGGATACCCTCTCCTTCTTCAGGACCGAGGCCGTGGTCTGTGTCTGAGACGGCCAACCCCTCTCTCCTCCTTCCTGTTCCTGGATCACAGGCTGAAAATGTGCTTTGTGWGTTGGATCTGTCTGTCACGCACACTGTTGTCGGGACTTGGTTGCTGTTGTTCTCTAGTGAACTTTTGGACTTGACCTTTTTTTTCTTGCTCAGTATAAAGTTGAAAATGGCAGTTATGAGAAGCATTAACCCTGCAGACAGAAAAAAAAATACTCTGTTTCAGTGGTTTCCCCCTCAGCAGAACACTTGAGTAAAAAACAYAGAAATTTAGGTTTCAGGCTTCAGTTTCCCATGTTTGTTTTGTTGAAATGTGACACCAGTAATACCCTTAACAGTATTTATTTTAATAATAATTAATGTTAGTGATATTTACCTGGAATAACTGCATGCCACACTAACACAGGATGCAGGAAGCAAACCACTGACATAATGGAGTAATAGAGGAATTTATGGAAACCTCCAACGCGAGCCATCTTCCCCCACAAGACAAACACCTGCCAGTTTGGAGGACAGCTATAAGAAYAAAAGGAGAAAACATGAATAAGGCAGGAAAGGGCATCAGGAGCTCTTATACTTTTTTTAGAAATCAGATAAAATGAAAAAAAAAGTTTTTTTCAGAACATGTTATTTATAATGCAAAGTAATTTCTATTTTAATTGGTTATATCGTGTTAAAAGTTAGTGAAACTATTCTAAAATTGTTAAAGGAACATCACAGGTTTACATGTGAAATGTTCGTTTTTGGGATGTTTTACGTTCAAAAATTAAACAGCGAAAGTGTTTTCCTCAGGCTGTGCACTTACGGAAGACACGTGGATAGAAGAGCATCCAGGAAGTAGGCTAACTCAAACATCATGATGGCAGCAGAAGAYGTTCTGTAAGTTGAACAAATATWCAAGAAACATGACACCAATCATGTTTTATTCCACATAAACTGCACTTATAAGGACACTTTCTGTGTGTGGGTACTCAGGACCAGCCCCTGGCATTAGCAGTGTAGGCTAATGCTAAGGGTGTCATCTGTCTAGGGGTGCCACAAATGGGGGATGAAAAAACTTATTTTAGAACTTTATCGGAGTTGATTTAATTCTACAGACGTTTTAGTAAAATGCTCTTCAGATGGTTAGAAAATGAATAGTTTTGAGTCRGTCTTTTACAAAGTTACAAATTTCCAACGGAGTTTACCCCTGGACCACCCCCTAGAACTGCTTCACTCCACAACTGCTCGGTAATATGAAMTCATTGCTGTCAGCAAATGTTGGCAGGTATAAGGTAGACAATTCTGATTCTATTGCTGACCTTGTGTGGATCGTGGTGTACTACCTTGTCAAAACCAGTAGTCCTTGTGGGGACCAARGACCAGGCCTAATATGGTAGAACTCCATTTTTGGGTTGGGGGCTAGGTTCAGGACTAAAGAATGAATTAAGATTAGGTTAGGTTCAGGTTGTAGAAACAACWGAAAATGAACGGAAGTCAATGAAAGGTCCTAATAAAGATAGAAATCCAAACTTGTGTGTGATGACAAAAYAAGTCTCCTTGGAGACATGTTGTCCTGTTGCTCTGTGGGAGTTTGTCTGCGACACAGAAACACATTAAAAACTGGTGGAGCKTTCCACCCTCAGCACCTCCCTTCATCCTTTTCACCCCTTTTCATGTCCCTGCAAGTGTTTTTGTATGTGGCAGATTATAAAAGCAGCTAGAGTTAYTGTTTCCTAAAAGCCCACAGGCTACAAACAGTTTTTGTTGTTCTATTTTTTAATTATTTTTTGCTTAAGTATCTGAGACGCCGGCTTTGAAGGTTTAATTCTGACAGTGTTGGGAACCACAAAGTGTCTCATGATGTAAATACTTACATAAGGTAGATGCCAAGGCTGTTGAATTCCCCCTGCTGTACTGTCTCCACTCCCACAGCACACAGCACTGAAAAAACAAAACAAAACAAAACAAACAAACAAAAAAACAGGCAGGAAAAGTTCTTCTTCATTGTTGGAGCTGATTCTGTCCACCAGATGTCAGACTTTCATCAGGATTTCCTCATCAGCTTGAGGTGGATTGCATTTTAGTGTAGCCAAGTTTGATAAATATTTTTAATATTTTTATTGTGGTGGAACTTGGCAGTGTTTTGTGTTTTTTTCTTCTTCTTTTGCTTTTATTATGTGCATTTGTCATACTGCTTTATTGCTCCACATCTAATCTTTTTGCTTTTGTAACATAAAATTGATCTTTTTGACAGAATTTATTAACTAATTTAAGTTCCGTACTTACATTTTTTCCCTTCCTTTGGGAAAATGAAACACTGTAAATAGCTAAAATAGAGCCAACTTAAAGTCAYGTTACACAGAAGTGTTGCTGACCTAATGAAAAACATTATTAAAGTTCAATGAAGCAAATGTCTTGTTTAGCATTTCTTTTGTGCATGCTTTGAATAATAAAAAGGAATAAATCAGAACTTTAGGCATTCCATAAGTCTGAGAACCTAATTAGCTTGTTTGAGCTGTTAGGAAATGCCAGKTGGTATGAATTTCAAAGTTTTATGAAAACTCAATAAGCTGCAGTGTTTGTCTTGCATTGAATACACAATAAAAAACAACAAGCTAAACAGATGTACACTCTGCAATGTGATTAAAAATGGAGGTTACCGCCAATGAAAGAGATCAAACTGAGTTTGGAGAACCAGAAAAAAAGAAGTTCCAAACTACAGCTTGTTGAATCGATAAAGACTCAAATYAAAAGCACAATTTAACAACAAAACTATTCTGAAAGATATGCGTTGGGTTTTTTTTTCCCTCTGAAGTACATGACCTTCATCGAGAGAGAAAACAGAAGAAAACAGTTACTGTGTCCTAACCACAATGCCCAGGATCCTGGAGTTTCTGAATTACAAAACAAAACAAAGTTGATCCGTTTCTAAAACAATTCCCGTAGATTGGTGGATTTAAAACAGAGGATTTTAGCCACGGTGATCAAAAATAAGTTTGCAGAAAAGATTCTGAATTTTATGAAAAKAGCTCTTTTAATCTGTATTAAGGTCCATTTTTAAATAATTATTTTTAAAAGTTTACCATTGTTAAACCAGGCAAATCCAACTGAGATCGCAGATCTCTTTTTCAGTGGAGTCCTGGGCCTGAAGGCAACCTATTGTACATGTTTTTGAGGTCAAAGTCAGGGGAAACATTTTATTAATAATAGTTCTGGATTTATTGAAAAACTAAAAATGAAAAGCAGATCTGTTCAGAAAGATACTACGCATGCCTTGAAATGCACGACTGAAACCTGAAGGACGTCACGGTTCTTTGACTTCAAATCACGAGACAGTGGCTGGTTGTCAAACATGGCAGTAATTGTTGGCCCTCAAATCTCATAAAACCTATTTTGCAGGAAGAACGAAGAAAATTGCAGTGAAGTTCTTTGCTGGCAACAACAAAAACCTGTTTACAAGCTAAAATAGTTCCAAAGGTGTTGATAAAAACCTTATGGATCATACAGGTGCTATACAAAAACAGTAAAATGCGAAAATGGAGGAAAAAAATTGTGAAAAAACATACCAAAAATAGATGACAATTTTGCTTTTGTTTTTAAAATTAGGCAATTTTTTATTTGCTTCTTTTGTTAAATTTTCTTGTGGAGTGCCCAAACACAAAAGCCACTTTACCTACACCTCGCAAATCATCAAACTTCCACCTCAAATAAGCATCTTTTGAATCAAAATGAAGTTTCAACCTGTCTTTTCCCTGTTGGATACGCTCGGTGATGCAGCGATCACTGCTGAACACATGGAAGCAATTTCTTTTGGCTGCAGCTCGCCAGAAACTCAGAGATATAATCTGCACTGGAGGGAAAACAAGGGGAATGTGGATTAATGGCTTCTTGTAAGTTTGAAAGTGTGAGAGGAATTAACTCTGCATATAGCTTTGCTGAAAATTAACATAATATGTCCTGCAGATGTCTATGCAGGACGCACACAGGCAAACGGTCTAACCCAGACACGCTGACATGTGGAGGGGCTGCCCGTCAGACAGAAGCACACACATACCACAAACATACATAAATACATACATGAACACAACACACCGTGCATTTGTGGGTGTAAATGTACACCAGCTTGTTCAGTTAAGCCTAATAACCCAGCTGGATACAGAAACTAAGTGCTCGTATGATGTCAGGCGCATGTCTCTAATGCTCAGTGTCTGCAGCTGTTTAAATTTAGAAATAAGGGTCCCATATTTTTTCTCAGAAAGCCAGCAACCGGAGAGCTTTTTCTCCCTTGTAGATTTAATGTGCTGTGTGTACATCGGTCCCTGAGAGCCAGAGAAACTCAGAGGAGGACGCACAGCGACAGCTGCGCTATCGAGTACGCTTTTAAATACTCTATAAATCAGCAGAAAGATGGTTTATAGTGTTCTTGGAGGTCATGGATTCAGTTGGTGTGTGTCAAAACTGGATATTTTAACATGTTTGTTCAATAAAAGTCTTCAAATAAATTATAAACGGAACACTTCTATAGAACAGGTCGCATTTCATCTTACCTATGGCTGTGGAAACCCCAAGGATCCTGCATGCACTCTCTACTAAAATCCACCACATGCTCTCAGAGTTCCCCATGATGTCAGATATTTTCCTCCTTTTGCTTTGGAAAAAAAGTGCGACTTTATTTGTGACCTTCTGGTTTCTAAAGTAGCATCCTAGACGGACGACTGACAGACAGCTGGATGGACGGCAGCAAAGGTCACGAAGTCCATCAGTGCCATGGTGTGGGACCTCTTGGACCGGACGAGTTTACCTCAAGAAAAGTTGAGACTTTCTGCTACTGTTGCTCCAGTAACTGCTAATCACTCACACACACACACACATACACACAAACCCACAATACCACTTCCAGTTAGTTAAGCGTTCTACTTTGTATTCCAAGGTGAAAGTGTTCAGCTCAGGGTCACTTGGTGCAGCTGTCACATTTATTATTAAAGCTGGTTAACAATTATCTATTAAGACTTAATATAAAACTAAATTCCACACAAACACAAAGCCTCTAAGTTGCAAAACGTTCTCTCTTTTTTATTAAACTTCTACTTCACTTTCGTCCAAAGTGGTTCAAGAATCAAGCGACAAACACCTCAGAGTTCAAGTTTCCAGGTTCACTTCATTGATCGGACATCAGTTTCAGCAAGACTGAGCACTGACGCCACACAGCTGCCGCCTGCGTCAGCACGCAAAAAGCCATTTCTGCAGGTCTGCAAATATTACAAACAAAATCCACTCAGTATGCAGTTTCCTTCGACGCGCCGATGAATCTGTGCGCAAGAATAATGGGCCGGTGCAGGCAGTGGATGTGGGAGAAAACAACACTTAAACAAACAGACTCCCTTTGACACAGCTACACATGGATGAATACAAACCCGTATAATGGGCTGACTTAAGTTTGGCTGAGGTGCAAGCTTGTTCAGACACAACAGAAGGCTTTGGATCCGCAGATGCAAAGTTCACAAACACACACACACACACAAATTCATGGACTCCTGGAAGGAGCCGCAGAGTAAACCATAAAAATCTCTTTAAGTCCCTAACAAAGATACTTTTGTGTTCTTGCACCAGTTTCACTAATTTCTGGCTTAGCATCCRGGTTATTTGTGGCATTTGCTGGCTCTGTGTTATTGTGTATAAACTGCGTGGCCATGACTAATAAATAAATATGTTAAATCAAATAACTGATGATTAATATTGAAGTTAATTCTTTTATTTATTAGCTTTTTCTTTGGGTAACAAATAAAATGACATTTTTTTGCAAGAAAGATTACATTTGCATTTATATTTAGCTGTGCCAGAATTCTATTGAATTTAGCTGCATTCATGTGTCACCAGGATGTTTCTTTAACATTTAACATTCCTTTAAGTGAAAACAGCAAGATTATTTTACAGCAGTTTTTGGAAAGATAACTATCGTTCTCATATAATATTTTTTCTTAAACAGTGATAAGGGGTGCAACAATACATGTACCCATATCGAACAGTGCTTTAGGTTCAATACACACTTGTATGGAACAATACAGATTTTTAACATTTATTTTATCAACTTATCTTCTGAAGATGCTCTGTGTTAAAGGATCAGTGGATCTGTGTTCGACTACTCCACCTAGGCTGCATTTCGAGTGCAGATCCACTGAGAAACTTGCTTTCTCAACAACCTTTAATTTAAAAACTGTACTTTTGAGGTTAAACAAATGTTTATAATTAATTAAAATAAATTACAAGTTTAAAAGGGCATGGAAATTTCTCTTTTTTTTGTATCGAAAAAAAATATCGAACCGTGAGACTAAAGTAATGAACTGAAAAGGGAATTTTCTGTATCGTTGCACCCCTATATATATATA